CCCTCCTCCCGTCCACTCGCCCTACTGCTGCTACTGCTACTACTACTGCTGCTGCTGTACTGCTGCTGCTGCTGCTGCTGCTGCTGCTGCTGCTACTGCTGCTACTGCTGCTGCTACTGCTGCTGCTGCTGCTCTGCTCTGCTGCTGCTGCGTGTACTGCTGCTGCTGCTGCTGCTGCTGCTGCTGCTGCTACTGCTGCTACTGCTGCTGCTACTGCTGCTGCTGCTGCTACTGCTGCTGCTGCTGCTGCTGCTGCTGCTACTACTACTACCAGGAGTAAGATAATATAGGAGGAGTATGACACTCCAAAACACGAGAAATTCAACATTTGCTTGCCTAATTTTACCGATGATCTATTACGTGCAACTCGATAAAAATTACATCTAAATTAGCGTTGGACATCCACCTCACACTCAAACTTTACTTTGTTTCCATACCTCTTCTTTTTATGGAGATATAGCTTTGAACGTCACACATGGTTCATAGCGTTTTACTATGCTGGTGGCTCAGCTTGCCTGAGCTTTCAAACAGTGGCTATCCCTGTGAGGAATGGTCTTGTCTGTTGACAAGAATGCCACCTGTTGGCGGCAGGAGTAAGATAATATAGGATATTATATAATATAGGATAATATAGTATATATGTGTGTATATATATAGTGTGTATATATATATACGTGTATATATATAGGATAATATATATAGTGTGTATGATATAATATAGGATATAATATAGGATCCTATATTATCTTACTCCTGCTACTACTACTACTACTACCTATATTATCTTACTCCTGTTACTACTACTACTGCTGCTGCTGCTGCTGCTGGTTGTTACTGCTATTTGCTACTGCTACTGCTGCTGCGACTGCTGCTGCTGCTACTGCTGCTACTTGCTACTGCGGTTTGCGGCTTGTATACGCTGCATGTGCTGATTATGCTCTGATAAGCACAGCCGTCTAGGTACGTCGCTGGTACGTACGCAGTATTTTACGAGATTGTTAGGGGACTCGTGCAGCGAGTTGTAATGACTCCCTACTGTAGGGTTTTACTGCGCTCTCCGAATGTTTAATGTCCCGCGCGGGACCCATCATGCGTCTGGTATTGCACCCAATACCGCGCATGCATGCACGCACGCACACATGCATGCACGCAGATATAACGCGCGTACACGCACAGGTCACTGTACACATCCACCCGCTGTGTGGTCGGGTCGCGTCGGTCTTTCAAATGCACACTACGCGCGAACTAGAAACTAGCCGGCTATTTTGTAGACGGAGTTTCATACTGTAATTGCGAAGCCTGCATTATTGATAGGTGTTGTCTAAAAGTTATGAGTCAATGAAAGATAAAACACGAAATAAAGTGAATCCCTAGCGTGAAGGAGAGAGTGAGCGAGAGTGGGGGATGGTGATCATAAATGAGAGAGGATGAAGCTAGAATCGGCACTGTTTCAAAGGGACCGTAAGTTTCATGAATAGTTCACATGCATAAACCAATTTAGATGAGAAATCTTCACAATAACGTGATGTGATCAGGAGTGTATAAGAACATATTATTATTATCTATTATTATACACTACTGATGATATCAAGAGTACATAATAGGAGATTCTCCTCGATAAATATCCTATTATCTACTCTTGAGGATATGTAGGTTAGGTTCAACCTACGCGCGCACGTACGCGCAGATGCGTACGAGTTATTACGGAGTTTTCTACAGGTCTGGTTGGGCAGGAATTCGCAGACGCTCGATTTACCTTCGTTGCTGTGACGTTTTCTATATACAAAGATCCCGTTCGTCAGTGGAACCTGAAAGAGTTACTTTCGCAAACATACTGAGCGTGTAGTGATGCCAGATTAGGTCGTCTAAAGTGCATTAAGTGAGCTTGGCAAAGAATAGCAGGTAGCAAGGGTAGGTGGTAGTAAGGGTGGGTGGTAGCAATGATAGTTAATAGCAAGGGTAGCTGGTAGCAAGGGTAGCTAGTAGCAAGTGTAGGTGGTAGCAAGGGTAGGTGATAGTAAGGGTGGGTGGTAGCAATGATATAGATAGTTAGTAGCAAGGGTAGCTGGTAGCAAGTGTAGCTAGTAGTAGTAGCAAGGGTAGGTGGTAGCAAGGGTAGGTGGTAGCAAGTGTAGGTGGTAGCAAGGGTAGGTGATAGCAAGTGTAGGTGGTAGCAAGGGTAGGTGATAGCAAGGATGGGTGGTAACAAGGGTAGGTGGTAGCAATGGTAGTTAGTAGCAAGGGTAGGTGGTAGCAATGGTAGGTGGTAGCAAGGGTAGTTAGTAGCATGGGTAGCTAGTAGCAAGTGTAGGTGGTAGCAAGGGTAGCTAGTAGCAAGTGTAGGTGGTAGCAAGGGTAGGTGATAGCAAGGATGGGTGGTATAACAAGGGTAGGTGGTAGCAATGGTAGTTAGTAGCAAGTGTAGGTGGTAGCAATGGTAGTTAGTAGCAAGGGTAGGTGGTAGCAAGGGTAGCTAGTAGCAAGGGTGGGTGGTAGCAAGTGTAGGTGGTAGCAAGGGTAGGTGGTAGCAAGGGTAGCTAGTAGCAAGGGTGGGTGGTAGCAAGTGTAGGTGGTAGCAAGGGTAGGTGGTAGCAAGGGTAGGTGGTAGCAGTGATAGTTAGTAGCAAGGGTAGGTGGTAGCAATGGTAGGTAGTAGCAATGGTAGTTAGTAGCAAGGGTAGGTGGTAGCAAGGATGGATGGTAGCAATGATAGTTAGTAGGCTTAGTAAGTAGCAATGATCGATAGTTAGTAGAAAGGGTAGTTAGAGTAGCAAGGGTAGGTGGTAGCAAGGGTGGGTGGTAGCAAGGGTAGGTGGTAGCAATGATAGTTAGTAGGCTTAGTAGCAATGATAGTTAGTAGAAAGGGTAGTTAGTAGCAAGGGTGGGTGGTAGCAAGGGTAGGTACTACCTAGGTGGTAGTAGCGAGGGTAAGTGATCATGATAAAGGGTAGCACACACGAATACCACGAAAACCCACGAACACCCCTCTGCTTCTGCTATAGGTTTCTCTTCGTTCTTCCACGTCTATGGTTACGTCTTTGCCCCTCTATCCCCCTGCTATACATTCCTCTCTCGTTTCTGATTGAGGCTCGTGCGTGTTGGAGGCGCGGTGAGTTATCGCTGCTCTCTAGTTGAGCTTACGCGTGTTCATAA